TTCCCTACACAGGACACAGGCCACAACCTGTAAGACTGCCTCAGTCCTCCCTTCACAGTTCACAAACTGTAACACTGCCTCAGTCTTCCCTACACAAGTCACAAACTGTAAAACTGCCTATGTCTTTTCTACACAGCTCACAAACTGTAACACTGCCTTAGTCTTCCCTACACAGAACACAGGTCACAAACTGTAACACTGCCTCAGTCTTCCTTACACAGGTCACAAACTGTAACACTGCCCATGTCTTCCCTACACAGGTCACAACCTGTAACACTGCCTCAGTCTTCCCTACACATCTCACAAACTGTAACACTGCCTCAGTCTTCCCTACACAGGTCACAAACTTTAACACTGCCTCAGTCTTTCCTACACAGGTCACAAACTGTAACACTGCCTCAATCTTCCCTACACAGGTCACAAACTGTAACACTGCCTCAGTCTTCCCTACACAGGACACAGTCCACAACCTGTAACACTGCCTCAGTCCTGCCTAGACAGTTCACAAACTGTAACACTGCCTCAGTCTACCCTACACAGCTCACAAACTGTAACACTGCCTTAGTCTTCCCTACACAGAACACAGGTCACAAACTGTAACACTGCCTCTGTCTTCCCTACACAGGTCACAAACTGTAACACTGCCCATGTCTTCCCTACACAGGTCACAAAATGTAACACTGCCCATGTCTTCCCTACACAGGTCATAACCTGTAACACTGCCTCAGTCTTCCCTACACAGCGCACAAACTGTAACACTGCCTCAGTCTTCCCTACACAGGTCACAAACTGTAACACTGCCCCAGTCTTCCCTACACAGCTCACAAACTGTAACACTGCCACAGTCTTCCCTACACAGGTCACAAACTGTAACACTGCTTCAGTCTTTCCTACACAGAACACAGGTCACAAACTGTAACACTGCCTTAGTCTTCCCTACACAGAACACAGGTCACAAACTGTAACACTGCCTCTGTCTTCCCTACACAGGTCACAAACTGTAACACTGCCCATGTCTTCCCTACACAGGTCACAAAATGTAACACTGCCCATGTCTTCCCTACACAGGTCATAACCTGTAACACTGCCTCAGTCTTCCCTACACAGCGCACAAACTGTAACACTGCCTCAGTCTTCCCTACACAGGTCACAAACTGTAACACTGCCCCAGTCTTCCCTACACAGCTCACAAACTGTAACACTGCCACAGTCTTCCCTACACAGGTCACAAACTGTAACACTGCCTCAGTCTTCCTTACACAGGTAACAAACTTTAACACAGGGCACAGGTCACAAACTGTAACACTGCCTCAAATCATTGTTGTGCTCATATTAAACATGTCACAAACTTAAGCATTATCGCAAATCTAAACATACACAAATCTACCAGATCATAAACTGAACAACACACCTGATGTTGCAAAGAATTTAAGGAATATGTGTTGAAATCTGGTTAACACTACAGAAATTAAATTAAACAAAAAATAAACATATCACTGAGCCATAATGAAGCCTGAAAGACTTTATATGTATATAACACTTAAATGCCCACTGAAAATATCAATCTTATTCTTCTTCTTTGCATGTAAACTCAGGCAGAAAGTTCTGGGTATCATCCAATCCCAGAACCTGAGTGCTGTGTGTACATCCAATTCACTCTTTTCCGGCTATTTTCCGAATAACGGTCCCAAATTATCGAGGCAGAAAATATACCCTAACAGGGCCTCAGTCACATGTCAATTGCGCACTTCCGGGGACTATACTGCCACAGCCAAATTGCGAATTTCCGGGGACTATACCGCCACCGCCGAGATTATCCCCCACGCCCTCATGCGGCGTGGATTGGGGCTAAACTAGATGCCTGGGACTCACGAGCAAATAAAATGAAGGCAGCTGCAGGAAATGCGGTAACTGCTGCTCGTGAGTCCCAGCCATCTAGTTTAGCCCCAATCCACGCTGCGTGAGCGGCATGCATGGGGGATACTCTCGGCGGTGCAAAAAGTCACCAGAAGTGTGCAATTTAAGTCGCTGGAAGTGCGCAAGTGGGCTGGGTCCACCTGGGGCTGGGTCCACCTGGGGCTGGGTCCTCCTGGGGCTGGGTCTACCTGGGGCTGGGTCCACCTGGGGCTGGGTCCACCTGGGACTGGGTCGACCTGGGAGCCAAGGTCATTTTTTAACAAGTCTGGTTCATTAGGAACCTGAACCCAGGACTTTCAGATCCACAGACAAGCTTCCAGCTGCTACACCACGACAGCTCACAATTTGTGTACGTATGCGTGTGTGTGTGTGTGTATATAAGTAAAGACCCTTTACAAGATAATTGGTGCATCAGGATAATAGTGCTAGACCCCCATTTGTATGGGCCCACACACACTCAATGGGTTGTCAAAACCATGCTTATCACCTTCACTTCCCAGAGACATTTCCTGGAAACCCATTTTAGGCTGAGTTGACCTGGGAGGAAATCTATTACAAACATCAGAAAGAGGCAGACATCTTTGCTGGCCAAATGAGATGGGGGAACAAAATGGGGACACGTGGGTGGCAAATGAAAAAAAAAAAAAAAAAAAAAAGCAACAATAGAAGACAGAAAGATTGATAAAAGAAAGATTAGAAGTACAAATGAGAGAGGAATCTTGACAGCCTTGTGTTGTGGCCTGGAAGAGCTTCAGCTCATGAAAGGGTACATCGCAGATAGAGATTGCTAGACATGGACAAGCATCAGTGACCTCTCAGAACATACCCAATTTACTTACAAATGAACAAAGTAATAAATAATTTTAAAAACATATTATTTCCTTGTCATGGATATGTGCTACTGTGGTGCAGGAAGCCTTCTGGGTACAGCCTTGAGTCTCTGGGTACAGCCTGGAGTCTCTGGGTACAGCCTGGAGTCTCTGGGTACAGCCTGGAGTCTCTGGGTACAGCCTTGAGTCTCTATTAAAAGGTTCCTTTATTCTGAGAAAAATATTTCTGATATACACATGTTTTATGTCATTCTCAGAGAAATGCTAAGGATATTCTACATCATCCTTAGAGTAATACATTATCAGAGTATTATATATTATGTTATTCTTAGAGTAATGCATACAATATGCTTTATCATTTTCAGAGTAATAAATAAGGTATACGAGCAAGAACACTCATTATTTCATTACCCCTAATATGTCCATGTTTTCATTTTCATTTGCAAGAATAAACATCACAGCATACCAGGCATATCTATACACCAGGCATACCTTAACACCCGGCATACCTTTACACCCGGCATACCTTTACACCAGACATACCCTTACACCAGGCATATCTTTACACCCGGCATACCTTTACACCAGACATACCCTTACACCAGGCATACCTATACACCTGGCATACCTATACACCAGACATACCTATACACCAGACATACCTATACACCAGGCATACCTATACACCAGGCACACCTATACACCAGGCACACCTATACACCCGGCAAACCTATACACCCGGCATACTGATACATCAAGCTATCCAAACTGACCTGCGGAGGCCTAGCAAATGGCCCGGGGATCATTGCCAGTTGTATGGTATTAATGATCTTTCTATGCTGGGGCCTGGATCATGGCCGGTGACAATCCTGATTGTCAAAAGTTTGATCCCTGAAGATGAACAGATGTTGAGAAGAAGCTTTGCATCCCCCCCCCCCCCCCCCACCACCACTGCAAATGCAAACTGTAGATATCAATAATTCCTAAAAGACCATGGTTGAAAACAGGATGTTCTGTTAAACTTTCATCCCCTCTTCCTCAGCACACACCTGACTCCACATTCACACATCCCACACTTATTCCTAGAAAGCCCTCAATATGTTTGCTGTTCCAATATGGTTGTTCCCACAACCCATGATTGGTTTTTTTTTTTTAGTGCAAGTATTTACAGAAATGTTCTGGAAGCTTCAGCACACAGTGTTTCTCATGCTGTAGAAATTATTATACATCAAAATAAATGAATTAATCAAGAATTGACATCAATGAACACAAGACATTTCCACATGTGCTCTATCCCACCCTCAGTAGCCAACAAACAGTTTCCATATTGACGATGCCAGTCACACCTGAATAAAAGTCTAACTAATCTGTCTGTGGCTTAGGCGTTGCAAAGGCGCTTCGTAATGCCGGGGTGCCGGGTTCGATCCCAGCTGCCGCCTTGCGCTGGTTTTGACAGTGGTATCAAGAAGCTGACCACCCAGAAAGCAATGGCAACTACTGGATGCAAATTTGCCTAGAAAAACCACAACAGCCAAAAAATGCTGGGGTTGGTTCTGCAATGTTCTGCAATGGGATGGAATCCATTGTATTATGACTCTTTTTTATTTCTGACTCAGTCCATGGAGTGCAGCTCTAAGGTCTGCTAGTTCTGTATCATTTTTGCTCTTCAGTGCTGAGACAACTGACTTTGCATCTGTGAAGATAGCTATGTATTCCTCTTTTTTTCTCTGACAGAAGCATTTCTGCTGCAGTTCTCAGGGCTCTGCCTCTGCTCTAAAAATGTATTAATCTAAACAGTGATATCTGTCAAATTAAAATATTCCATAATTTTAAAGAAAATGTTATTTATGTTGCAACTGGAACATGCAATAATTTTACCGTTCAAACTTGAGACCATCATTCAAGAGGCAGTTTTATGTCATGCTAAAATGATAACTTTCATATGCTCTATCCAGAAGGCAGTAATATGTTGTAACTCTAAAATAATTTTCACATGCTCTATCCAAAAGAGAGTAATATGTTGTATCCAAAAGAGAGTGATATGTAGTAACCCTAAAATAATAATTTTCGCATGCTCTATCCAAAAGAGAGTAATATGTTGTATTCAAAAGAGAGTAATATGCTGTAACTGAAAAATAATAATTTTGACAAGCTCTATCCAAAAGAGAATAACATGTTGCAACTCTAAAACATCCCACAATTCTGACAAAAAAGATTTGTGCCCATCATTCAACACAAAAAACATTATATGATCTACTTTTTATCACTATGTCCAGGTGGCTGCTTCTTGTCATTGAAATCCACACTAGAACTGTCCTTCCTCCCAATGTCAACGTTAGACCCAGCCTTGGCTTGATGATAATCTGTGAGAACAGCCTTGCCTGTTTCCTTGGCAGCTCGTTTGGCCACGGCCTTGGGACCCAAGCTGTGGATATTGTGGGCTGTCATGAGCATGTTTCCTGCTGTGTACACCGTGTTCTCCGTGAAGTGGCCGGCCTCTTCACCATACCTGGCCAAAATAAAGTCTTTTTTTTAAACATTTTTTAACATACTCTCCACTATGAGTATCAATCTATCTCATTGTTACTGTGTGCATCAGAGGCAGCTTTAAATAAAAACTGTAAAAATGGGACTAAAATTAAAATAACCATGTCGTAAAATGTCAGTATTGCTTTTAGGGTGTCAAGAGTGTTAAGCATGCAACATCGTGGGGCAGATGAACAGAGTGATGTCATAATGACAGACTGGCTGCCCCACTTTTGGAGCAACAGCATTTTGCTATTTTTGTTTTTAAAATTATTTAGTGAAGGGTGAAACCTACAGAAATGCAACATGTCCAGTATATGGTGATGAATGCCTGTCAGCCCAGCAAGTTTAAAAACGTCATGACTTCGATGGCAAACTGGTCAAGACTGGGTCAGGCACACAGAGTAGTGACCCTAGAGTCTACTTCAGCTGCTGCAGCCCTCTTTGAAACTTCCAACTTTACTTATACACTTTCCAAACTTTGGCACTACTTACAGTTAAGTTGCATACCCTTTATAGAAGGTTGCACACCAACCCTAGCCTTTGTTGGCTGTAGTTTTAATAGGCAATCTTTATATTTAGTAGTTTGCCATTGTCAAATCTAGCTGCATGGTCTCAAGGCATGGTGTCCGCCTCGAATGCTAGAGGTTCCTGGTTCAATCCCCGGTAAGGGTTGGGATTTTTTCACGTGGACTTGGACTTATAGTAATTCCCCCTGGTCTCTGGGTAGTGAGATCGGACACCCATGTGCACTGTTCAGCATGTAAAAAAATCCCTTGGCAGTTGGAAATCGAAAAGAGTAGCCTAAATGCATTGTTGCGCACGTAAAAAATCCCTTGGCAGTTGGAAATCGAAAAAAGTAGCCTAACGGTGCCGCCCAGGCAAAATTTGTAATTAAAAATCTACCCAAAGTATTTCAGGATTCTTGCCGGTGCTACAGAGCCTGTGCGCTGTGCTGAGCTTCTTCGGACTCCGACTTGAAATTGGAAGAAGAACGGAGCAATTATGGGCTACTACCTGTGTGCCATGATGTTGATCCGTTGTTCAAAACCTTAAAACCTAAAATCTAGTTACAGATTGATAAACAAAAACCCACATTTTTATTATGTCTATGATAAAAGGGAGTCACTGTGGTGTAGCGGCTAAATGCTGGCCTGCAGATCTGAATCCATAGGTTCAAGTCCTGACGGAGCTAGACTTGTTTTAAAAGGGACCTTGGCTTCTAGCCTTAAATGGGTACTAGCTACAGACTTGGGAAGTAAAGGCGGTGTTGTGATATTGACCACATCACCCACCGAGTGCTGATTGGTCTATAAAATACAGGTCTCGCCCTATACGCGTGAAGACGTGGAAAAGGATCTTTTATTTTTATTTAATTTTTTACTATTTATGATAAACTTATGTGTAGTAGACAAGAACACAAATGTTTGTTATGATATCCTTAATAAACTCAATTGTGTATGACATCAATAACATAAAACTATATTATGATATCCATGATAAACATATGAATACAAATCCGTGGTATGACACACATGATATACTCACTTGTGAGATCACCAAAATATGTTTTAACATATCCATGATAAACTCATGTGATAAACAAGAACACAAATCTATATTATGATATCCATGAAAAACAAACTTGTGAGATGGAAAAGAATACAAACCTACACTATGATATTCATGACGAATTCATAAAATCCTGACTGTGATAAACAAGAACTCAAATCTATATGATACCCATAGTAAACTAACTTATGTGAGATAAACAATTCATAAACTAATTATGATATCCAAGATAAACTCATTTCAGTGACAGACAAGAACACAAATCTATGTTACAATATCCATGACAAACTCACTTGAGTGAGATAAATAATTCATATATTCTGATATCCAATATAAACTCACCTGAATTACTTCTTACTTGTCAGTATCAACATTCTAGCGCATCGGTCTGATCCATTCACACTCCTCCTCCGATGCAGCAGCCGTCTCAGTGTCTCCATGCTCGTCATACCCAGTAGGAGATTAGTTGCATATCTTCCATCTTTACCCAGCAACCAGTTTCCTTGTTTAATACACACTTCCAACAGGCGATTTACTGACTATGACTCCTTTGTGCCAGTGTCTGGAACACAGCACATTCAGTATGTCTGCCATGTCCTTACTTCTCTACCAACCACTGCAGACATGGCCAGTCTGTCAGCTCTTTCATTTCCTTTCATCCAGGCATACCACCGTGTGTGGAGCCAAGATAGTTTCTTGAGGGAGACTTCTGGATGCTGTCAACCCATTCTAGTCAGAGTCTGCCAGTTTGGATCTTCACGAGCATGCTCATTAAGTCTCCACTCACTTGAGTGATACACAAGAATTCAGACCTACGATAAAATACCGTGATAAACTTACTTGCGTTTGACAATGTGAACCGTCTCATCTGCTAAACATCTACCCAGAGCCTTGGCGGCAGATTCCAGACCCAGATAGACTGTGCTAAATCCTGTTTTAGACAAATGATACAGAGGTGCCCGTTCAGGCCCAGGTAAGGCTGGGATTTTTTCACATGGAATTCTAGTAATTTCCCCTGGTCTCTGTGTAGTAAGATCAGATACTCGTGTGTATGTTGCGTCCGCAAAAAAAATCCCTTGGCTGTTGAAAAATAGTAGCCTAACAAAGCTGCTAGGCAAACTTTATCAAATTTACCCAAAGTATTTCAGGATCCTTGCACAGTACAGTGCACAGAGTTTGTGCACTGTACTGAGATTCTTCAGACTTAGGCTTGAGTTAGAAGTAGAATGCAGCACTTATGGGTAACCACCCTTGTGCCATGATGTTGATCTGTTGTTTAAACAGAAACAGAAACTCTCTGCTTTCTCAACTCATCTAACAGTTGGCAGGTAACTGACCTTTGAGTCCACTGAATGCCACCTCCACGACTCCGTCAACAGTAGACTTGCCTTGAGAGTTCTTGTTGTACACGGACTTGGGAAGAATTTTCTGCCCGTGCTTTCTGAGATGAGGAGCCAATTGTTTTGCAACAGCCACTGTCACCTCTCCTAGTTTGTTCACTGAAAAATAAACGATGAAAGAAACAGATCAGAATTAAAAAAGCAGAGAAAAAAAAAAGGATAGGGGCAGTAGAAAAGGAAAAAAGGAACATTGAAGAGAAGCAGCAGCAGAAGAGAAAAAGGGAAATGAGGGAAAGGATTAGGAAGAGAGGAGGAGAAAGGGAGAAGAAGAAACAGAGCAGGTAAAGCTCTTTCTTTCAATGCTGAAGAAGAATTTACTGAACTTACTTGCAAATCAAATATCACAGTTTAGCTTAAACATTTATAACTTGGATGGTAAGGAAGAATTTTACGACCTTTTTTGGGGGGGGGGGGGCGGAAAGGGGGGGGGGGGAGGTGAAAATAATTTGTGCTAACCTTTCAAATTGGAAAATTAAGTGCACCAGACTGCTTCCGCAGTAATGTTTTTAATCCCCAGACTGTGCCAGAGTTATAAAGTTTTGTCCAAAAATTTAAGAAATTTTAAACGAAACTTAAATCTTTTTTCGTTCATAACTTTCTTAAATGCATTAATTTCCATAGAATGAAGTATCAACTGATTCCTTTTGTGAAAAGTTTTATTTGTGTTCCAGCTCAAGCAAACTTTCTCGGAAAATGAAAATTCCAAGTCTTTACTTTGTCTATTGTTGTATCCGTTCAATGGTGAAATTTAGATTCACAGCTTTGTTTTGTCTATTGTTGTATCCGTTCAATGGTGAACTTTAGATTCACAGCTTTGTTTTGTCTATTGTTGTATCCGTTCAATGGTGAATTTTAGATTCACAGCTTTGTTTTGTCTATTGTTGTATCCGTTCAATGGTGAACTTAAGATACACAGCTTTGTTTTTTCTATTGTTGTATCCATCCAATGGTGAACTTTAGATACACAGCTTTGATTTGTCTATTTTTGTATCCGTTCGATAGTGAAATTTAGATTCACAGCTTTGTTTTGTCTATTGTTGTATCCGTTCAATGGTGAACTTAAGATACACAGCTTTGTTTTGTCTATTGTTGTATCCGTCTAATGGTGAACTTTAGATACACAGCTTTGTTTTGTCTACTGTTGTATCCGTTCGATGGTGAAATTTAGATACACAGCTTTGTTTTGTCTATTGTTGTATCCGTTCAATGGTGAACTTAAGATACACAGCTTTATTTGTCTATTGTTGTATCCGTTCAATGGTGAACTTTAGATACACAGCTTTGTTTTGTCTATTGTTGTATCCGTTCAATGGTGAACTTTAGATACACAGCTTTGTTTTGTCTATTGTTGTATCCGTTCAATGGTAAACTTAAGATACACAGCTTTGTTTTGTCTATTGTTGTATCTGTCCAATGGTGAACTTTAGATACACAGCTTTGTTTTCTAGATTTAGTCTATTCCATAATGGCTATAAGAGGAAAAAATAGTTGTGAATAAAACTGCAATGCTATCAGTGTCAAATACATGTGGTTGTCAAATATATGTGTGTGTCAAATAGACATGGGTTTCAAATATATGTGCGTGTCAAACAGACATGGGTGTCAAATATATGTGTGTGTCAAATAGACATGGGTGTCAAATATATGTGCGTGTCAAACAGACATGGGTGTCAAATATATGTGCGTGTCAAATAGACATGGGTGTCAAATATATGTGCGTGTCAAATAGACATGGGTGTCAAATACACATGGGTGTCAAATATATGTGCGTGTCAAACAGACAAAGGTGTCAAACACACGTGGGTGTCAGATACACGTGGAATAAAGGGGCAGGTCTTATGTTATGGTCAGATGTTTGCAACACAAAAGCCAAGAAGTAAAACATACTGTACACATTTTAAAGTTTTTAAAGTTCTGCTACTAAGTGGAGGAAACTATTGAACACACCAATGCAAACCACAAGTGTGTAACCCATCTCACCCACTAACTGCCATAAATAAAAAGTCTAGGATCTTCTAATGTGAGTTTGGTGACCCCATTTTGGGGCACAAAGGAACAGACCAACTACAACCTAAAAAGCATGTCATAAAAGGCCCACATATTATGATTTTTGTTTCCAATCAGATATGCTGGATACAAGTGGTACTCCTGATGTTGTCATTGGCCTTCATTTACTGCAGTAGTAATCACCATCATCATGCACCGTGCCAATCAGAGTGGGCAACCATGGTTCGTCATCTGAGGGAACCTTGTGTGTGTCTGTGTTGATGCACATACGTGCATGAAGTGGGTGTGCAACGTGCATGAAGTGGGTGTGTGAGCGTGTGTAGGTGCATGTGTGTGTGGAAGAGGACTTCCATTTGTAAACAATTTCCCTAGATACTTGGCAAGTGGGCAGGCAGGCAGGCAGCCGAATGAACTTATATACGGATTACAGATATTGATAGTGACTCATGGACTAGTACCGAGATGACCATGTAAGTGATTGCTTGTTCTCAGCACACGGAAACCACTACGAGAAAGCGTGAGAATTGAGTTAGGGAGAAAAACGACAGGCAAAGAGTTGGAAAGTTAGCTTGGAGACAGCAGTCAGGTAAAATCGTTGAATTCTGACTGCTAGAGTTTTGTAGTTTGCTTGTTTAGAAACGTAGCAACAGATAGGTTATTGAGAATTGTGACATCTAGCTTAGCAACTAAGGTGTAGGTTACAGGGGCTCAGGAAAGAGCTTGTATCAGAGGCTGTTGGTTGGGACCCAGGTAATGCCTTGAAGCAACCATAAGGCCAAGGCGTGGCTGGCGATTTTGAAGCACTCTGGCAGGTTGTGGCAGCGTACAATGATGAGAGCCATCTCTGGGGTAAACTACTGGTTCTTTTTGTAGTTACATTAAAGGCATATGTGTATACTTTGACAGTGTTGGACCTGCTGTGTCTAGACACACAGTCATGGAGTTCATGACACACCCAGGCTTATTACCTATGTAGCCAGTAACTTTCACAGCTCCTTGAGTGGCTTCCCTGGCATACATGACACCTTTCTGCACTTTTGGGTCAATCTTATGCTCATGATCTGCTGGTCTGTACCTCTCCTGGAACTTTTCTGACCCCTTTCTGATCAGCTGCCCAGCCTTTTCTGCTCCCTTCTCAACACCCCAGGCAATCCATTCAGCAGCTAAGGACAAAAACAATAAATATAAGTAACAAGTAAATATGAGTACTGATCAGTAATCATCATTATCATCAACATTTTAATCATCATTATAGTCATCATTATCACTATTATTATCATCATCTCTCATCAAGTTAAAAAAAATTCACTCGTAAGCTATTGTTCTTTGGCCACATAATGAGAAGAGAGACATTGGAGAACGTAGTGACAACTGGAAAGATCAGTGGAAAAACTGGTAGAGGCAGACCAAGAGAGATGATGTTGGATAGGCTGAAACAATAGCAATGAGGGATATCATCAAGAGAGCTGTACCAGGCAACCAGGGATCGTGATCTGTAGAGATGCATGAGCGCCTACGCCAGTTGACAGGGCACATGATGATGATGAAGAAATTTTAACCTGAACAAATGTTTTGTGTCCTCTCATTTTTGAGGTGTAATATAATAGAAATTAAACACCTCCAGTGTCTCTTCCATTTCTTGTCCACGGGGTTCTGGAACTTTCCAGGCTCAAACGGGAGCACCAGCCATCTTCATACCTATAATCGTAGAATTTGTGTGTGTGGGGGAAGTTAAGTGGCCTTTATCACTTGTCAAGTAGAAATAACAATTTGCTCAATGTATTACTGAGACACAAAACAACATCAATTTTGACTTCGGCATTAAGCATCAAGGGAGAAGAGTTTGCGCTCCACTGCTCGATGGGTGACACTGGATATTTATATTCCATGTAGATGTACAATCTTCTTTTCCTTCGCGTTCACTGGCTGTTAACTTCAGCGGAACATTTTGCTGTTCATCAACTTCTGGACTTTAGTTTTTTTTTTCAGAACTTGAGTGTTCTGTGCCCATCTGTTTAATATATTTGACTTATATTGTATGCAGATTGCTGGTTCCTGGCTTCTCAGGCAGATGCACTCCGACTTCAAAGGAAGTCCCCAATTAGTTGGTGAGGTAGTGAGTCCATTTTTGTTTTCCCTACAGCATGGCCCCAGAAGCTAAACAGGGAGGGATCTGAATGTCTTTAATGTCAAAAATCAATGTTCTCCTTGTTTGCCTTCTTGCTTTATTAGCAGACTTTGGGGTGTAGCGCCTGTGTTGGCAGTTGTGGCTGCAATCTAACAAGATGACTGAACCACTTAACCTTTTGCTTCTTAAACCTACCCGACCGCTGGCCTGGTTTTCCGGGAATTTCTTAACCTGATGCCAGACCACTGGCCCTAAATTTTGGCTTTTTGCATAGTACAGCGAAAAGATGGGTCACGGACTAAAAATAACCACCCAATCGTTATCAATCCTCTTTGTTAGACATTGCAAATGTCTGCCCGCATGTGTTTGGATAATTTTTGTGTTGTTTTACGTGGAAAAAGTCTGAAAATTCACAATGAAACGAGCGGCTGATGAACCAAGTTCTAGGGGTTTCAAAGTCCAACAGGTGATCGATACTCTGGTTTGCAAATGTCTGCCCGCATGTGTTTGGATTATATTTGTGTTGTTTTACGTGGAAAAATTCTGAAAATTCACAATGAAACGAGAGGCTGATGAACCAAGTTCTAGGGGTTTCAAAGTCCAACAGGTGATCGATACTCTGGTTTATAGAATACGTTCTTGGAGTGATAATTTCATAAAGAATACGTTCTTGAAGTGACAATGTCAGTGAGAGCATGAATGATGAGGAAAATCTTGAAAATTATCAATCTTGAAATAGATGGATAGTGGGAGAAGGGGGTGTGTCCCTCAAACGGCAATATCTGGTGTTTACTTTGTGAAACAAAGTTGATCCTGATGATTGGATTCACACACAAAGGTGGAATATTGGCGCTAAATAAAAAGGCAAGCCTATTTTCTACAATGTCTACAAGTTTCATCATATTCTAGCCACTAGTTTGCATGTAACTAATATTTGTGTATATCATGTTGGTTTTTTCGCGGTAATGATCAGGAGCTCAGGTTTTAGGGACAGTTAGGTTCAGGGCCTCAGGTCTGGTAGGGTTAATGGTGTTATGTTATCACAATCGACGTCTTTGCATACTAGGCATTCCCATTCGTGCTAACTCCTTCGATGCGGCAGCCACTCCAGGGTACCACTACTGTTTGTTCCCATGTGAAGATGTCATAGAATCTTTTGTCTTTACCTCAAATACGGCATAGACGTGCTTCACCAAGTCCTCAGTCACACAATGGTGTTAGCGTCAGAGATTCGTCATTTTCCCCCAATCTAGTCCGAACAGAGTTGATGATATCAGCTCTATCCATATTTCTTCCAATTTGTATTGGTGCATTTCTTTTCAGCTAGTGAGCTCTTTCCTTGCCATTTACTCCTGCCTGCACAGGTGTGCAGATTCAGAAGATGGAGATTAACTGCGACTTCCTAATGCTTTCTACCCATTTGGAACGTAGACTCCCTGTAGCCATTTTCTAAAGCACGTTCATGGAGTCTGAAACGATTACCTCATGTGTGGCCTCTTGTTCTAAAACCCATGCGAGTGCTCTGGAAGCAGCAGTTTTTTCATGGTCATGATTGACTTAGTTGTTTGGTCAGCGCAGCTATCTTCTTTTATTGTTTACCCATCCTTTGTGCCGTGTATACCCATGCTGATCTTGTTCCGCGCTTCACTGACTTATCTGTGTAAATGATGACGTTTTTTAAGTATGAATGCTGATCAATCCGTGCACTTATCTGGGCATCTACAGTGGTAGATGTCTTACTCCTGCAGTACCTCCCCAATGTTATGACAACCTTAGGCACGTCATGCACATCTAATGGTGCATCCGTCATTCTCTACTGTGACTGATCTCAACTAGGTCTCATATGTGCTGGATTTGATTTTCTGAATCCGCCATCCAGAAGAAGCCTCTTTTGAGACACATCCTTTCCATATCACTGTCAGTGTTGTGCAGTGGGTGGTTGATATCTAATGATATTCTCAAGTACGCCTTCACCTGTGCCACTTTATGACTGTACCCCATCATCAACCAGGATTTACTGTTTATATTAATGAGAATTATCATTAGAAGAATAAGGTGCAAAATTAAACCAGACATGGAGAAGAGCAGTGTGGTTTCGTTAATGGTAACGCCATATTTATCTTCAGAACACTTTCAGAAAAAAGGATTGACATGAGCAGAGATATGTATTTCTTTGTCATCTGTGTCAGAGTTAATTAAAAGTACACGAGACAGAAGGCTGTGGACAGAGATGACCACCATCGCCACACAGTATGGATTTTAAGAAAAGAGAGATAATGCATGGTATTGGCATGAAATGTCTTTTGTGCAGCCGAGTATGAGACTCATGGCCTCATTCTGAACCCAGCCCAATCTTTCTAGCTGGGTTCTGCTGACATTGAAAAATGAATGCTGTGTAAGGTGATGTTTCCACACCTGCCTGATAGTATCCTTTCTCACTCAGTCTTGAATGGTTAAGCTGGCAGCTTTCCTCTGGCATTTTGTGTCACAATCAAAACAAACAAAAAAGCAGTAACATTACCCACCTTTTGAGTGGATCAGTCATAGCTAGATGGTTTGGACATGTGTGCAAAATGGAGAAAATCGGCCACTGTGGCAGGCACAGGAGGCTAAAGGTTAAAGGTTATAGGAGGTTAAGAACCAGGGAACCAGAACTAAAGGGAAACCTATAGTCTACTGGGAAGACAACATCTGACTGACCAAGGAGTGGAACGGAACAAAGCCACAAATAAAACTGCTGACAGAGAAGTCTGGCGATCTCTCTGGCAAACCTCTACCTCCTAAAGTAGAAGAAAGGCGACTAAGTCAGTCAGTAAGTAAACATTACCCACCGACAAGTATACCCTTGGAGATTTTCCCAGCTGTGTCCAAGGGCTCCTTCTCGCCCTCCTCTACTTCTTGTCCCTCAGTCTGTTCTCTGGTCTGCATTAAAAAAAAAAAAAAAAAGATGTCTGCATGATTATTCAACAACTAGAAGACGAAGTGACTGTTCATTCAACTGATGCAGGGAAAGACTGTGACAACTAGAAGATGAAGTGACTGTTCATTCAACTGATGCAGGGAAAGACTGTGACAACTAGAAGATGAGTGACTGTTCATTCAACTGATGCAGGGAAAGACTGTGACAACTAGAAGATGAAGTGACTGTTCATTCAACTGATGCAGGGAAACACTGTGACAACTAGAAGATGAAGTGACTGTTCATTCAACTGATGCAGGGAAACACTGTGACAACTAGAAGATGAAGTGACTGTTCATTCAACTGATGCAGGGAAACACTGTGACAACTAGAAGATAAAGTGACTGTTCATTCAACTGATGCAGGGAAACACTGTGACAACTAGAAGATGAAGTGACTGTTCATTCAACTGATGCATGGAAACACTGTGACAACTAGAAGATGAAGTGACTGATCATTCAACTGATGCAGGGAAACACTGTGACAACTAGAAGATGAAGTGACTGTTCATTCAACTGATGCAGGGAAACACTGTGACAACTAGAAGATGAAGTGACTGTTCATTCAACTGATGCAGGGAAACACTGTGACAACTAGAAGATGAAGTGACTGTTCATTCAACTGATGCAGGGAAACACTGTGACAACTAGAAGATGAAGTGACTGTTCATTCAACTGATGCAGGGAAACACTGTGACAACTAGAAGATGAAGTGACTGTTCATTCAACTGATGCAGGGAAAGACTGTGACAACTAGAAGATGAAGTGACTGTTCATTCAATTGATGCAGGGAAAGACTGTGACAACTAGAAGATGAAGTGACTGTTCATTCAACTGATGCAGGGAAACACTGTGACAACTAGAAGATGAAGTGACTGTTCATTCAACTGATGCAGGGAAACACTGTGACAACTGGAAGATGAAGTGACTGTTAATTCAACTGATGCAGGGAAACACTGTGTCAACTAGAAGATGAAGTGACTGTTCATTCAACTGATGCAGGGAAACACTGTGACAACTAGAAGATGAAGTGACTGTTCATTCAACTGATGCAGGGAAACACTGTGACAACTGGAACTTGGGTGTTAGAGACAGGAGCTGGCAGAGAGAGAATATGCTGAATGGGCTAGCATAGTGGCATAGAAGATTAAAGATTAAAAGTAGTCTATTGGGAATTAAAGGGAGTTGCCGTGGCGGAGCGGCTAGATGCCGGACTTTTTTTAAAAATGACCTTGGCTCCTAGGTCGACCCAGCCTTGAGTGGGTACCGGGTGCAGTCCCGGGAAGCAGAGGTGGCTGGCGTGATGCTGACCAAATTACCCATCATGTGCCGATTGGTCTAAAAAATATAGGTCTAGCCCTATATGCCCTAAACGCCTAAAGGCGTGGAAAAGGGTCCTTTACTTACCCTTCACTTTATTCGAAATTAAAGTGTTAGGCCTTCCCACATTCTAGGCCATGGCAACTAGGCCCTTCTTTATTATTTTCCCATCATTAACAAATTTCAGAAATTTCTGGAAATTATCCCATCCCTTTTTATAACAGGCTAGTTCAATTCACAAAGGTGTAAGGGAAGGGGTGGGTATAATATCATAGTTGTTTATATAATAAACAAAGAAACATTGATGGGCACTCACAGAAGGAAAAGTAAGTAAATGTCCTTTTTCAATGCATATTGGGAATAGAGGGCTAGACCAATATTTTTTTATAGACCAATCAGCACCTGATGGGTGATGTGGTCAGCATCACGCCGGCCGCCTTTACTTCCCAGGACTGAACCTAGTTCCCACTCAAGGCTGGGTCAAAGTGGAAGTCAAGGAAATTTCTGAAAAAAGTCCGGCCCCTGTCAGGGACCTAATCCACGACCTTCTGATCGGCAGGCGAGCATCTAGCTGTTAGCTAAATCCACGACCTTCTGATCCGCAGGCCAGCATCTAGCCGTTAGCTAAATCCACGACCTTCTGATCCGCAGGTGAGCATCTAGCCGTTAGCTAAATCCACGACCTTCTGATCCGCAGGCGAGCATCTAGCCGTTAGCTAACTCTACGACCTTCTGATCCGCAGGCGAGCATCTAGCCGTTAGCTAACTCCACGACCTTCTGATCCGCAGGCGAGCATCTAGCCGTTAGCTAAATCCACGACCTTCTGATCCGCAGGCCAGCATCTAGCCGTTAGCTAAATCCACGACCTTCTGATCCGCAGGCCAGCATCTAGCCGCTAGCTAACTCCACGACCTTCTGATCCGCAGGCGAGCATCTAGCCGTTAGCTAAATCCACGACCTTCTGATCCGCAGGCGAGCATCTAGCCGCTAGCTAAATCCACGACCTTCTGATCCGCAGGCGAGCATCTAGCCGCTAGCTAACTCCACGACCTTCTGATCCGCAGGCCAGCATCTAGCCGTAAGCTAAATCCACGACCTTCTGATCGGCAGGCTAGCATCTAGCCGCTAGCTAAATCCACGACCTTCTGATCGGCAGGCCAGCATCTAGCCGTAAGCTAAATCCACGACCTTCTGATCGGCAGGCCAGCATCTAGCCGCTAGCTAAATCCACGACCTTCTGATCGGCAGGCCAGCATCTAGCCGCTAGCTAAATCCATGACCTTCTGATTGGCAGGCCAGCATCTAGCCGCTAGCTAACTCCACGACCTTTTGATAGGCAGACTAGCATCTAGCCGTTAGCTAAATCCACGACCTTCTGATCGGCAGGCCAGCATCTAGCCGCTAGCTAACTCCACGACATTCTGATAGGCAGACTAGCATCTAGCCGTTAGCTAACTCCACGACCTTCTGATCGGCAGGCCAGCATCTAGCCGCTAGCTAACTCCACGACATTCTGATAGGCAGACTAGCATCTAGCCGTTAGCTAACTCCACGACCTTCTGATCGGCAGGCCAGCATCTAGCCGCTAGCTAACTCCACGACCTTCTGATCGGCAGGCTAGCATCTAGCCGCTAGCTAACTCCACGACCTTCTGATCGGCAGGCCAGCATCTAGCCGCTAGCTAACTCCACGACCTTCTGATCCGCAGACTAGCATCTAGCCGCTAGCTAACTCCACGACCTTCTGATAGGCAGACTAGCATCTAGCCGCTAGCTAACTCCACGACCTTCTGATCCGCAGACTAGCATCTAGCCGCTAGCTAACTCCACGACCTTCTGATAGGCAGACTAGCATCTAGCCGCTAGGACAGTGGAATGTCAAAATAAAAAAAGTGGTTGATGGTGTAGTTTTCTGTCAGTCGTCATCCCACCCTGACATAGCACAACAAATGAATGAACCAACAAACAAACAAACTTTATTTTCAAAGCATAAAGGCTTGGGTACGCAGACCATTAAACTTTCTGCCCTTCCAGCACACTCCCTCCATACAGTTATTCATTCGTACATCATTTCCCAGTGGTAATACACGCTACAGCCACACAAAAAACACAATGTATCCTGTGTTGTTGGAAACATGTATAAAATATCAATCCATGACCAGAGAACACAAGGATATAAAAAAAAAAAAAAATCACAGAAACAGAACATTACACAGCCCTCGTCACCATCTCGAAAAGGGAAGTCACAATGATATCAAGTGGTCAGTTCCTGTTCTCACAACAGTTCCGGATTTAGGTTTAAGCTGAATAAGCTACACCTCTGGACCTCACATTCTGCAGGGGCTTTACAACAAAAAAACATTCCAGAGAAAAAAAAATTTTTATATATTTTCTCCGCTCAATCATTTTATCATTTTTTATGAATATTATTTTGGGTATATTATCTCAGGACTTTATTTATTCTAACTTGCTGTAGCCTATTTACTTTTAATTTAGCACAATTGCCTAATCACTGAGTTTGCATTTTGAAAATCAAGAACAAATGTTTTAAGTTGTAATTTAGAGCCTTTCATATCGTGTAATTTATGTGATTTTGCAAACCTATTTTTTATTATTTCTTTTAATACAAATTATACAAAAATATATTTTTCTGTTATCAATATATTCAAAAGGCATATATAAATATATTTTTCTTTTTTAGCGAGTGTAATTTTAACGTTAGGGGCCTCTTGGCTTTATCTAGCTTGGGGCCTCATCCCTGCCCCTGATGAGATAAAATAATCCAAACTGCTATGCCACCTCAGTCATGAGACAGACAAGACCTATGACAATAACAAACATTCAATCTATATATAACAACATACATTCACTTGGAGCTATTAACACTAGACAAACATACCAATGCTGGTCCTGTGGAAGAGCTAGGAGAAGGGCTAGTGTCTGGGGACTGTTCCCCGTACAGAGTGGAAGACCTGACAATGTCCTCAAATCTCTCCCTCTCCTCTGGTGACAACGTGTCTGGCATTAGTAGCCCCACAGCTGCCCCTGTGAGTGGAAAATGACATGTCATGGAATCTACCGCGTCACTATCAATACTTTCTAAACACAAATACACAGATGGCTAATTGCACATACATAAACTCCCCCCGCCACCCGCCCCCCTCTCCGTACACAGCAGAAGTGATACATGCAGGCACTAATAGCAGTGACCTTCTGTATTACTTTTTAATTGTCTATACCAGAGGCAAATTCGGGAGTCACCATGGCGTTGGCCTGTGGATAGGAAGGTCCTCACAGAGTGACTTTTTTCACAAATGACCTTCACTCTCAGGTTGACCCAGCCTTGAGTGAGTACCAGGTGCGGTCCTGGGAAGTAAAGGTGGCCAGCATGATGCTGATCACATCACCCACCAAGTGCCGATTGGTCAATAAAACTAGGTCTAGCCCTATATTCCCAATACGCCTTAAGGCTTGGAAAAGGGACCTTTTAAAGGCGAATTCACAATTAGAGACAGAGACAGAACATTTACAACTAGAAACAGAGCTAGAACCTTTAGAACTAGAAACACAGCTAGAATATTTAAACTAGAAACAAGGATAGAAAATTAAGAACTAGAAACAAGGCTAAAATATTTAGAAATAGAAACAGGGCTAGAACATTGAGAAATAGAAACAGGGCTAGAACATTTAGAAATAGAAACAGGGCTTGAATATTTAGAAATAGAAACAGGGCTAGAAAATTCAGAACCAGAAGCAGGGTGAGAACATTCAGAACTAGAAACAGGGCTAAACAATTTAGAACTAGATCTAGAAATAAAACTCAGATTGCATAAAATGACCAAACTTAAACGAATTACTCTGCATTACTCTGCAAAGACAGTGGCATAGGATAGGACACAAACTGAGAAAATCTTATAACAATATAACTAAAATGACCCGGCACTAGAAACCACAGGGTTAAAAGTATAAAGGCAAATTGAGAAACACAAGGAGAAAAAAATTTAAAAAAATAAAAAAGGCAAAGAATACAAACTCTCATCATGGGTTGGAAAAACAATCCAGACATTGATGGGAATAAACAAAAAGCAAGGAAAGAAGTTAGTTATACAATATACAATGATTTTATGACTATGTAAAGCCATGTCATTACACATAATGACGTTGGGACTGTACATGATATCACACCAGCATAATAATGTTTTTGCTGTCAAAGACAAAAAAGACTGAAGTTTATACCAGAGGACCAACTGGTTGACAGAAAAAAACAGAGAACCATAAGCAAACCAAAATTGAATCTAACACCTCCAACACTACATAACCCAATTTGGTTGGCAGAAAAAAAAAGAAATCAGTTTCATTGTTTACCTGGCCGATCAACTGTCACATCAGGGAACAGGTATGCTCCGTAGTTTGTGTGCAACGCTGGTGAGACACCTGGAATCAACGGATACATCCAGTCACCCACCTGAAATAAATAGAATCTTAATGAGTGACAGCCTATATCTGTCAAGCAACAAGATCCAGGATTTAAATGCAATCCTGACTTATAACAAAAGGATTTAAATTGTATGACACAATCATAAACATGGAGCTCAGACATAGAGAGAGAGCTAAACATATTCCAGTGAATCAGGAGGCGGGGGAAAAATCACGGCACTGGATAGATCACACTTTTTAAAATGTTGATAACAGAATAACCAGAATGCTCTTGCATTCAAACATGGGCAAAAAATGATTCAATGCACACAACCAAGATCATAAGAGTCAGAAATGAATAACAGGGGAAGGATATGAAGCGAGCTGTACAAGATGGTGAAAGATAGGACAGCCTGGGGTGAACTGGTGGAGAGTCTAAGCTCCAATGTGGGAGGAAGAGTCAAACAAGAAGAAGATGGCAAACAAATCAAAAAACAGATGGCAGGTTTGTGATGCAGTGTACAGCTATAGTGAAATATTTGCACCTTTCAGTTAAACATTTACACTTTCACCAAACCAATAATTTGTCTAATTTTACAATATGCTTTGGAAGAAGAAAAAAAGGGGGCGTGGGGACAATGTTTCTTAACCCATCCTCCCCCCCCCCCCCTTTTTTTTTTGACTGGCTTCAATCTTTCTGTTCTTGTTAACTGTTCAAGTCTAAATGTTAGCATACTGAAGAGAGAAAAAAATCATGAAGAGGCCATCTCCTTCCACAGTGTATCCTCCAGTGTGGCCTAGGTCTTTAAATAGCTCACTTCAAATCTGTCTCATCATTTGCTATCTTCTGAAGCTCCTACATGTCCACATGTCAAGGAATGAACCGCCACTACACATAGTAAACGAGTCGGGACCTGATACACCCCGCGCTCAGAAAAATTTCAAACTTAGACCCGTCCGGAAAGGTATATAGTTCCTTATATTGATCTATACCTTTATAAAATAATAATTACTAGACCTTCTAGTTGCTTTGACTTATCGTCATTTTCAAATTTACAACTGTAGGTTGACGATTTCTAGGGTTTTATTTGAATATTCCTAGAAACCGGTTTACTCCTTGCTCATGTATACAAGGGACTTCTTTTCTACTGATGCCAAGCTTAAGTTAGAGCGGGCATTCTTCTGCCTGCATTCCTAGAGATCAGATGTGGTCATCGGCGCCTCATAAATTTATACTTTGAGAAGGCGGCCTGTAGTGTCCAGGACATTTCCTAAGCTTGGGTAAGTTAATTATAGTTTACGAGTACTTAAATGATGTCTTGTTAAAAGGGTCACTGCTGTAGATTGAGTGGTATCGGTTATGGGATCGCACAGAGTTCGACCGTTCTTGATGTCCAGAGAACCGGATCCGAACCTGAGACCTTCTTCTATACAGACTAAATTGTTTGTGTTCTAAATAACCCACACCAGTGGTAAACATATTGAACCCTACAAGTATTTATCCTTTGAACTAGCAACAGAAGTTTGTGCAGTATTAACGGGGACGGAGAATGTAGATCAGTCTTATTGGCAACTAGAGCATTGCTTGGAGTGTGTTTGACCCAGATCCATGGGTGTGTAGTGAATAGCCTGAGGAGACGGAGGAGATACGGGTACTGACTGTAAACATTGGTATCTGTGTGCAGATGTGAGGGGGAGAGAGAATGATATATGTGTGATAGTGTCTATCTATCTCCACTATATATATCTGACTTTCCATCTCTTGCACTAAACAGACAGATAAATGAAAGGAGACATTGTCTCCTGGTCTTGAGAGTACACTCTGAGGAATGTAACAGAGGAGCAGGGGTGGAGTAGGCTGATGGGTGATGGAAACTGATTGCTAATTCTGAGTTCTTTCCTGTCAAGATGATACCCTCTTGGTGATTACTAATTCTGAGTTCTTTCATGACAGGATGAAACCTCTGTAGAGAGCGGGCAGATCAATCACAGTCCTACCAACAGCCAACAACCAACCACCAGCTAACCACAGTTTGTGTACCAGACATAACAATGGCATGCTCTATGTACCACTACCTCAACATGACCAGAGTGTGGGTGTGAGCTCCAGGACGAGTGAACATTTGCAGAGGTTGTGCCAGTGAGCGAGTGTACCAGTCTTCAGGAGCCTGGTTGGGCTCTGAGACAGTTTGTGACCTGACCTGTGGAAGAGACTTTGTGAGTCCCTTTACAGTTTCTGTGTCCTCGATGGTGAGGTACTCCTCTGTGACCAGATCAACTTGAGGCAGAGCTACCAGAGTCAACTACAGTCGAATCACCAGGGACTGAGGGGAGCATCAACATAGGAACTCTGATAAGTGACAGTTTTTGTTACAGTATCATGCTCTATTCCCCACAGCTCCACTGTTTCGGCTGATGAATTGATGTACTGTTTAGAATCATCTGGCTGCTTCAATATCTGAGTCGTAGCTCTGAGTTCTGATCCTAGAAACATTCTGGAACATTATTCTTTTATTTGTGTAAATAATTGACACTTATTACATACATTCATTTTCATGGCTGACTTAGGTGTCTCTATTTCACCTTTCTAATTGTTTAGCATTGATGTGTGTATGAATAATAATTGTTATATGTGTTAACATGGTTATGATAGTAGACTATCATAACCTGGGAGCTATCTTTTTATAGTAGTGGGGGTGTCCAGCCAAGTGTGCCTAGGAATATTATATTTATATATATATAAATATATATTGTAGTGCCAAAACTTGAGTTGCCCTACTCCAGAAATAAGTTGAGCGTATATTGGCCACGGGGCATCCCTTAGACCAATACGAGCCAAACGACTCAACATAATTATTTTTGAGTGCTGTTGGTTCTTAAGGAGAAATCCTTAAATCAGGCACTTGACATGAGTGATATGTGACAGAACACATCCTCCTCAAAACAAAACATTCTTATAATCACCATACTGGGGGGAAAGGGGAAAGAAAAGAGAGCAGGAGAGAAGAAAGTGACACAAGTGAGAGCATAACATCAAGAGACAGACGAACAACAGTCTCATAAAGGATGGACAAGCAGTCTCACAAGAAACGGACAAACAACAGTCTCACAAGAGATGGACAAACAAGTCTTACAAGAGACAAACAAAAGTCTCACAAGGGATGGACAAACAACAGTCTCACAAGGAATGGACAAACAACAGTCTCACAAGAGATGGACAAACAACAGTCTCACAAGAGATGGACAAACAACAGTCTCACAAGGGATGGACAAACAACAGTCTCGAAAGGGATGGTTAAAACAACAGTCTTACAAGAGACAGACAAACAACAGTTTCACAAGGGATGGACAAACAACAGTCTCACCAGAAATGGACAAACAACAGTCTTACAAGAGATGTACAAATCAACAGTCTTACCAGAGATGGACAAACAACAGTCTCACAAGAGATAGACAAACAACAGTCTTACAAGAGGTGGACAGTCTCACAAGAGATGGACAAACAACAGTCTTACAAGAGATGGACAAACAACAGTCTTACAAGAGATGGACAAACAACAGTCTTACCAGAGATGGACAAACAAGTCTCACAAGGGATGGACAAACAACAGTCTCAGAGATTAAACAAAATTAGAGACAGAGTGTTTAAGATGCATTTCAGTAAACCTTCATTGTGAAGACAGCATCTGATTGACGGACTTAATTAAGACAAGTCAGTGAGGTGCTAAATGAACATTTCGGTATTAAAACTTACATGTAAGAACACTGGAGCTTCTTCACCATTGGGCCCTTGTGTCTGCGGCTCATTCATCAGTTTAATCACATGAAGGGATGTGGGGTAGGTTGGGGCACTCACGTAACCCTCGGCAGTAATGTAGAATATCTGTACACCATCCGGAACGTTAAACAACTCTTCAGCATTGGCCAGGTGACCACTGCTGATTTCTCTCCTCATGAGGCTCTCTCCCAGAGCTGTCAGTTCGTCATCTTCATAGGAAGGAGGAAGGCTGGGTGGCTCACTGATTGCGTCTTCATATGATGGTGGTGACATGGGTTCAACTGAGGCCTGGCAGTTGCACAAATAACACATTTAACTGTTTGCATTTACAACAGTTTTGATAAATGACAAAGTTAAAGATATTCAACAAACATATATGCATGTCTTAGCCTTAATGGATTAATGGCATACCATGTCTTCTTAGGTAATGGTGGGGAGAAAAAACAGATGGTCTCAAGCATAAATTGTCATCATCATCTTTTTCCACTTGTGCCGTTACGTGCCAAAAGAAATAATAATTATTGGCAGCACCTGACTGGCAGCACTTACCACTGTCATTCTGAATATATCATTCATATCTGAACTTTACACCGAAAGCCACAGATAAAACTGTCTGGCTAATTGGGAGCTTCCTTCGAAGTTGGAGTGCATCTGCCTGAGAGGCAAGGAACCAGCAGTCTGCATACAAATGAGTCAGATCTGTAAAACGGATGCATGCGCAAGCACTCAGGTTATGGAACAGGACTGCAGTCCAGCAGTGGATAAACAACCAGAACTTTCCGCCAAAGTTTACAGCTGGTGAACGCGAAGAAGAAGAAGAAGAAAACTGTCTGGCACCAAAACATAATAATAAATTATGAAGAAATTGAAATTGTCACAAACTCTGAATAGCTAGGCTCCATAATAAACAGCAATGGAGACCATTTCACATAAATCAAAAAAAGGATGCTCTTAGTAATGAAAAGATTTAACAGCATTAAAAGTCTATGGTTGAGTATCAGCAAGGAAATCAGTAACAATTTTGAGAGTATGCATCTTCCCTGTAGCAACATACAGATGTGAGTAGTGGACTACCTCGCAGTCACTAAGGGAGAAAATAACCTCTGAGCTAAACTGCTACAGAAAGATTCTCAGAGTACCAAGCACCAAGAAGAATAAAAACACTGACATCCTATCCTATAAGATTTGAACATCAAGGAAGATTGTCTAGTAAATAGCATTTTGTCTTAGAAACAAAAACATTTTGGCCTAATCAAGCACCACATGAGACTGGAAACAATAACAGCAGAAGGGATGGTGCCAGGAAAGAGGGAAAGATGCAGACCAGCACGAAGCCAGGTAGAGGATATAAGTGCAAGAGGCAGGAGAGCTAGCCAGAGACAGAGTGTCTTTCAGGCAGACCAGAAAAACGATCTGCCACATGATGATGATGATGATATGAATGCTAAAGATGAGGAAAGCTCCAATTTCAGGTCTAAACCCTTTCACCCTAAAAAACTCTCAAACAAAAACATAAAACAAAGAAGGCCATGACCTGCTGAAAATTTCTGTAAAAACAACAATAGTTTTTAGACAGGTCACAAATAAATTTGTTTAAAATTTTTTTATAGAAATATAAAAATTATTTTTCGAAATATATCTTCTATTTCTTCTTCTTCTTAGCGTTCACCGGCTGTAAACTCTGGCAAAAAGTTCTGGTTATTCATCCATCTCTGACTTGTTTTAGAACCTGAGTGTTGCATTCACATCCATTTTATAGATATAACTGTGTATGCAGACTGTTGGTTCCTTGCCTCTCAGGCAGATACACCCTGACTTTGAAGGAAACCACCAATTAGTTGACTTTTACGACATGCTTGTTGGGGAGGCAGTGGGTCTATTCTTGTTATCCTCACAATGGGGTCCCGGAACCCACATAGGGAATAAGGATATACGAAAGGAGTAATCAATAAACACAAATGAGGTGAAGCATTAATAAACTCAATACATCCCCTGGGGCCTCAAAAACAAACATGTCTCAGGGGACACATGCCTTGACCCTGTGACCTTTCCACTGAGGGTTAAGAGAAAATCTGACACCATCTTTGCTGTAAAAAAAAAAAAAACTTTAGCACCAAGGAAAAACATTCTAAGTTAACTTATTCATATCCTGACCTCATAAACATTTGGCAGGTACGAACTCAGCCAACTGCATTTACTATACATCGTGTAAACAGATCACAATAGGCCAGCCAGAAAAGTGACATTTACAAGGAACTGGATCCAAATGTGGACTGCTGGTTCTCAGGCGGATGTACTCTGATCTGAAGGAAAGCATCCCATTAGGTCTACCTTTACTAAAGACTTGTTACAATAAGAGCTCCCACTGGGGCCCGGGAACCCACACTGAATATTTTTATCTGACATGGGTTACAATAATTCTAGAAATGACTGCTACCACAATGGAGCCTTACCTGGAAACCATATGGGTGTGTTCTGTGTAAAAATTCTGAATGACTTACCTACAATAATATTCTTACCTGATCCTATATGGGTGTGTTCTGTGTAAACATTCTAGAAATGACTGCTACCTACAATAATATTCTTACCTGATAAACTATATGGGTGTGTTCTGTGTAAACATTCTAGAAATGACTGCTACCTACAATAATATTCTTACCTGATAAACTATATGGGTGTTTTCTGTGTAAACATTCTAGAAATGACTGCTACTTACCTGATAAACTATCTGTGTAAACATTCTAGAAATGACTGCTACCTACAATAATATTCTTACCTGATAACCTATATGGGTGTGTTCTGGTAAAAATTCTAGAAATTACTGCTATCTACAATAATATTCTTACCTGATAAACTATATGGGTGTGTTCTGTGTAAAAATTCTAGAAATGACTGCTATCTACAATAATATTCTTACCTGACAACCTCCACTGGTTTATTCTGTCTAAACAACTTAAAATGACTGTTACCTACAACAATATTCTCACCTGACAACCTCCAATGGTTTGTTTTGTCTAAACCTCTAGAAATTACTGTTACCAACTAAATATTCTTACCTGATAACCTCCACTGGTTTGTACTGTCTGAACAACTTAAAACAACTACTACTTACAACAATATTATTACCTGATAACCTCCATTGGTTTGTTCTGGCTGAACAGCCTGAATTTCCTGCAGCCTGAAAGCAATCTGCTGCCTTGTCTTGTTCATTTTCTGCTGTATTTGTTTAGCCTGCTCTATCTGTTCCACTGAGCAACGAGACAACTTTTCACAGTTGACTCTCAGAGCCTTGTCCAGCAAATGAAGTCCCTCAGTGTAATTGGCTATGGCAGTAGGCAAATCACTTAACTCGTCTGCCTGCAGGCCAGCGTCCACAAGTCTATATGCCATGTCATGGACTTTCTGAAGGTCTCTGAATGACCAAGTGTGAGGTGCCATTTCCAGAGTTGACTGCAGAGTTTGTGAAGACAGTGCTCCAGAGACTTGTGGCGGAGGGGGACGTGGTGGTGGAGCATGTCGGTCTTTTTGTCCTTCTGCCATTTATGGCCAAACGTTTTTGTGAAGTTTGTCTGTGAAATACTAAAACTGATTAAACATTGCTTTGCATATCTGTTTTTTTTTTTTTTTTTTTTTATTTTAATGTTTATGTATCATATGTTTCAGTGTTTAAGACAACCCCTATGTTTTGAGCTGAAAATGAAGTAATAAATATTTTAAACACCAAAAAGAACAAGTCCGATACTGGGGGGTCTGAGGGAACTGTGTGAAAGGGACAATGTCTGGGGTGAGGATACTGGGGGGAGTAAGCACCAGATGAGGATCTGTTATGACGCCAGCAGTTAGGGCAGGCTAGAAGAGAGTGGGGCATGAGGGAGGATATCAAGAGAGGCATGCATTTATTTGTAGATATTTAACTGCCACATTCCCTGAAAAAGATGATACCCATCTTGAAATAGTGACAAATATATGACAAATTACAACACTGATTGTGGATTTTTTTTTAAATAACTTGCTTAAAGACAGATTCAAACCAGAATAAGTCAAGCGAAAGCTGCATTTCAGAATAATGGAAGCAACAGAGATGTGGTTTCTGAGACGAATGTTACGAATACCTTTGACGGCCACAGTAATTAACAACAACTGCTTGAAAGAGGCTAATAAAAGTAGATCTCTATATACAACAATAAAAAAGAGACAAACACTGTTCTTTGGCCACATAGTGAGAAGAGAGACATTGGAGAACATCATGATAACTGGAAAGATCAGTGGGAAAAGGGGTAGAGGCAGACCAAGAGAGATAATGCTGGATGGGCTGAAATGATGGCATGGAGGGATATCATAAAGAGAGCTGTTCCAGGCAACCAGGGATCCTGATGTGAGGAGAAGCATGAGCGCCTAGGCCAGTTGGCAGGGCACATGAGGTTGATGATGAGCTTGCTCAACATTACTAATTTAGTAAGCATTTTAGGTTAAATACTAAAGAAGCTCAGAAAATGCGGCCACGATGGCCAAAATTTATTATCAGGATTTGGGGATGATCAGATGAAAAGATTTCCAACACAAAATTCTATTAACACTAAATAATGACAGATGCAGGCAAAAATGTGACAATGGTTGTGGATTTTAAACAACAAAAAACACACATAAGATTACCAATTTAGTAAGCAAATAAAGTTAATTTTAAAAGTTCTGAAAATGTAACGAAGATGTGTGTGCATGGCATACCACAGCATACATATTGGAAAACCACGTTTAAATAATTTAAATCAGATCAGATCATGAAATAAAATGTTAAATTAATATTTTAATTCTTTGTAGAAGTGACATTTGTTCTTCAGATATGTTGGATTTGAGGCAAAAACAGTGATGCCATTAAAATATGTTTTTTTTAAACTTTCAATTAGCCAATCCTCGTGAAATTTCCCATATTTATGTAAAAACACAGAATTAAACAGAAAAACCATAAACTGCCTTAATATGGTTAATTTTGAAGATATTTACCATATGTGCATGTATATAGTACATGTATATGTGTGTTTATATGTGTGTGTGTGTGTGTGTGTGTGTGTGTGTGTGTGTGTGCATACACAAATATATATGTAAAATGTTAATTGGCATGCACTGCTGAAACTGATGTGCTCATTGACTCCTAGCCACTATCAGTTCAGTGGTAACCTCATTTAACAAATTATTCTTTTCCTGGAGTTCAGTAGCACAGGGGTTCTGATACTAGTGCACACCAGCCCTGTACTCATCACATCATCAACAATTTCCCGTTAGCACTAGAGTTCAATGGCACCCCCACCCCCTCAACAATCTTCAATCAGCACTAGGCACTGGAGTTCAATCAAAAGCATGGGAGTGTTCATAATCTTGCACCCCACCCTTACCTTGTACTAGAGTACCGGTCCAAGCCACTCGTTTTTGGTACAATTAACATTTCTTAGCCAATATTTTTGGCATGAAGAAACCAGACCGCAACTATAGCCGAAACTGATGCTGTAAGTTGAACGTTATCGATTTTTTTGTTTTGTTTTTAACAAAGGATGGATATTTTTCAGATGGAACCCTAGCACATATGATTGTGTATCGAATGCCTTGACGGCGGGGCTGGGTATAAATTTCTACGAAACGAAACATGACAAAGAAGTAAACTTTTTATAAGGAGTAGAAAATTATAGGGAAGAGAAAAAGTTGGTAAGAAACAACAATTAGTTTATGTTAGCTTTACAAAATCGATCACAATAAACAAACAAAGGACGTTGCGGCGATTAGCCTTCATCAGCACATAAATGACAACACAGTTCACATACACAAATAGGCTCTAACTATGAAGTGACTACATAGGACTCTAATGTATAGAATAAACGATACTCATCTAGTGTCCCTGGCGAAAAAACTTTGTTCAATGGAATGACGGTCAGCCTATATACCTCCAACGCGCAGGTAGGGGCAAAAAAAGGGACGGGTTTGACGCCAACAGTGTACACTGAGTGTCTAAGGAGGGAGGGAGGGGTTGGCATATAGGGCGTAACTGGGGTTGGGTTGTGGGGATGACATTAGTCCATCCGCATGGAATAAAAGTGGTGCCTGTGCTTGCAAACAAATATCGACAGACAGACAGACAGGCAGGCAGGCAGGCAGGCAGGCAGGCAGGCAGGCAGGCAGGCAGGCAGGCAGGCAGGCAGGCAGGCAGGCAGGCAGGCAGGCAGGCAGGCAGGCAGGCAGGCAGGCAGGCAGGCAGGCAGGCAGGCAGGCAGGCAGGCAGGCAGGCAGGCAGGCAGACAGACAGACAGACAGACAGACAGACAGACAGACAGACAGACAGACAGACAGACAGACAGACAGACAGACAGACAGACAGACAGATAGATAGATAGATAGATAGATAGATAGATGCTTCTCTCTTACTGTCAGCTATCAAATAGAGACAGTAAGGATGCTTGTTATACAAAAGTAATCAGTCGAGCCCGAGAGTAAGTCTGATAACAACCAGAGTGTAAGGGAGCGATGAAGGGATAGATGGGAAAACAGCATGTGTGGATGGTGGTGTGGATAGGCGAGTGTGTCCTGGCACATTCATACCGTGGGAGACGATCAAATCTCGTCACAGTCAGTATGATACTGACTCACAGTCAGCGCTGCCTAAATAATAATTTGTTTACATCACAAAATTAGTAGAAAAACAACTGACTAAACCATCGTAAAATAACTTGAAAAACGTGCTGAGCTTCCCAAAACTAACAATAATCAATATAGCTGGACAAATAAACAACTGACGTAACTTACAATAAACAAGTTTGACCGCTGATTTACGTAATTGTCACCGATTGTTTGCGTCTGCTAGAGAAGCGAAAGTTGGCCAGCATCCATATTTGCATACAGTTGGTACAGGTGCTTGACACAACCAGGGCCAAAATGTTTTCTAAGTCCATTTTTCCACGAAACCATTGTTAGACATTACTTTCACTTTAATTTTAAAAGACATATCTAGTGTAAATTGCATAACTGACTGGCATGAATTATCATATGATATACGAAATAGAAGTAAACACTGAAACTGCGACAGACACTATCTAACATAATTATAACCCGGAGGCTGAACAAAACATTACCGGTATTTATATTTATGAATGGTCGGCTCTGTGGCTAAGTCGATGCGAACCCTTCGTAATGCTGGGATGCCGGGTTCGATCCCAGCTTCGAGCTATGCGCCTAGCGTTGGTTTCGACAGTTGTATCAAGAAAGCCGACCGTCCAGGAAGCAATGGCAAAGTACTGGACGTAAATGCCTAGAAAAACCACACAACAGCCAGGACAACAGCCAGGGGTTGTTGGGGTTGGGGTTGGTTCTGCAACGTCCTGTAAAGGACACGCAACTAACCTATATATATGAATAAACAGTCGTAGATTTCAAGCTGTACGGTAGACATGGCCATCTTTAGGGGGGGGGGGGTGCCTAGTTGACCATGTTCATATATATGAAAATTACCCCTTATTTATATTATTACGCGGTATTAAAATGACAAACCGGCATATTCTACACTGGGGTAAGCTGATTGGGTAGGTACAGGTTCTGATCTATATTGGGATATTATTATTATGAAACCTCTTAAAATGACTGGAATCATCAACCACGACCGGCTCCTTGCATCAACCATGATGCATAAGCCTATATATAGATCTTCTAAATCCTACAATCAGTCAGCTTACCAGCAGACATCCGTACCCGCTGGGAACTGTAAGTTACACCCAGCTGGTGTAGACGTTCCAGCGCAACGTTTATAAATTTTTTTGAGGTTGAACAGGGTATATCACGGTAGGCTTGCCATCCGAATTATAAATATGCAGTCTGTGAGTGTCAAACCTTGAGACAGCAGCCAGAAGGGAGATGAGGCCAGCACGCATTTCTAGTCGGTATTTAAATGTACTGTTGATTAGTGATTGGAAAGGATTATCATCACAGCACTCCGGAATGATCCATAGATGCTCCGATCTCCTCCTGAAAAGCTCCACAAGCATAAAACAACTGATGACAGATGTTCTGTGTTGGTTAATGAAACGTCTTGTCCACATAGTGAAATGTTCATTTCTTGCAGCTCCAGGCTACACCCCCATGTCCATCAGTCTAGACAGGGATATGTAGTCATGTCCTTTGGCGTGCTCCTCAATACGGTAAGTGCAGCGCATGGCATTGATAACATCATTTCTGTCCAGTACTGGGCCAGCCATAGCAACTGCAGTGTCAGCAAGATAGTCTGCACGCTCGTTCCCTCGAACACCCGCATTACCTGGCACAAAGATGAAGTTTAGGGTGTTGACTGTCAATATCAGTAAGGGGTTTGGCCCATATTCCTGTTTGACGAAAGCCGTAAAACTTCAATTGAAACCATAGGAGATTTTGGTTTATGTATACTTTACACTGCTTCTATGAGTGCAAAACAATGTGTGTGAATGTATTTGTCAAATTTGATATATACTGCAGTACCATGCTATAACACAGAGAGCGGCCGCCGTCAGACGGCACTGTAAAATAGGCGGTTTAATAAGCAACCAAACCAAAATACAGTTTTAACTTTTGATCTGATAGCCCGAAGCTATTGCGGATTTCGAACACTTGCATCATACTGAGAAAAATCAACCACATTGACTCTTACGACATGCTTGTTGGAGAGGCAGGTTGAAAAATCCATAACTCAATAGGCACTGACAAGGGAAGCAAATGGATTTAGTAAATGGCTAGGTGGTTTGCTGGAGAAAAAATCGGCACGTTTAATCAGCATCTCCGGAGGTGGAGCTTTAGATTGTAACTGTGACTAGGTTATGTGTGCCATATAAAATTGAATTGCACGCCACCTAAAAAAAAAAAAGCCCTGAAAAGGATTGCTGCTGTGTTGATGCGATCAGAGGATACTGTTCCGACCACAAACAAACAAATTAGTCTATCGGCGAGCCAATGGGCGACCCATTCGCAGATGCTGGTGTAACAGTTTCATATATATAACTTATTTGCAGGTTGAACAGGGTATATAACAAAACAGACAGGAGGCGTTGCAGAGAAATAGCATCTAAGAAATTGGAGGGAGCTGACTTTCTCACTTTAAGTGTTGAACTATGATTCGGCACTCTGGATAACCCCATAAGAGCTCGGTCCTCATCTTCAGCAGCCAGCGAAGAGATCAAATTCCAACAGTGCCGGTATCTCCCAGATTAAAAGACCCAGTATTTCTTGTCTCCACCCCACCCCCACCCCCCTCTCTCTCTCTCTCTCTCTCTCTCTCTCTCTCTCTCTCTCTCTCTCTCTCTCTCTGTTTCACGCACACACATACATTTTCTGTTAAAAACCCATATTGTTTGTCATTTAGCCCTCGCCCCTCCCCCCCCCCCCCCCAGCGATGGCATCTGGGGCAGTCCCGATTCCCACACTCCCCGTGCTACTAGTGAGGTAAAATTCAATAGGTGCTTGCAAGGCAATGTCAGGCGGCGGTGACTCAGATTGTCGAACTGGGAACGTAAGAGGCAATGTAGTTTAGGATATCAGTACATACATACATACATACATACATACATACATACATACATACATACATACATACATACATACATACATACATACATACATACATACATACATACCTACCTACCTACCTACCTACCTACCTACCTACACACACATACACACACACACACATACATACATACATACATAAATACATACATACATACATACATACATACATACATACATACATGCATGCATGCATGCATACATACATACATACATACATACATACATACATACATACATACATACATACATACATACATACATACATACATACATACATACATACATACATACATACATACATACATACATACATACATACATACATACATACATACATACATACATTCACATACATTCATACATACATACATACATACATACATACATACATACATACATACATACATACATACATACATACATACAAATACATACATACATACATACATACATACATACATACATACATACATACATACATACATACATACATACATACATACATACATACATACATACATACATACATACATACATACATACATACATACATACATACATACATACATACAGATCGGCAGATCCCCTTAATAAGACAACAGATGCGCAACAAAGACTAAATATCAAATTTGCCAACATAAAGCGGTTCGTTAAGAAAGCTTAAGTGTGGGAAAACAAAAGAAGTGGCAACTGCAGCACACACTGAATGGCTGAACACTACACGTCATACACATCTGCTCATACTGGCCTACTTTCAGCGGCTACCTGCAGGCACCCCGGTTTAAAGAACAGTGCTCGCAGACATACATTGAGTTAACATCTAGAAAGCTAACACACGCCAATCTGGGAGTGGTCAAAGGAGCAACTTTATGTCTGATCTAGCAGTGGCCACAGTTGTAAGCGTTGGGTGAGCGAACAAAAGTTAAAACGGTCTGTGTTGCATTGAGTGAGCAAACAAAAGTTAAAAGCGGTTTGTGTTATTAAAGTTACATGTTAGTATATTTGTTTTCCAAGCGCGAGCTTGCTGAGTTATCATTATCACATTTCACGAAAGGTGTGTTAGGAAAAGTAAAGACGCCGGTGCGGGTTGGCAGACATAGGGATTAAACACATTTTAGATCTGATGTCTTTAACTATGTGGCAGCAGTTATATGGTCGAGATGGCAGGGCTGTTCTGTCAGTGATGTGTTTTCTGTTTGGTCTATATCCCTGTTTGCCAAAAGCCGTGGAGCTTCCATTGAAACCCAAAGAGATTTTGGTATATGGGGGTAAGTTGTGTAATTTATAAATGAATACTCTACATTGCTTCTATAAGTGCCCGTCAATATGTGTGAATTTATTTGTCAAATTTCATATATACTGTACCATGCTATAATACAGAGGTGCGTCCGCATCAGACGGTACTGTAATTTACAGTGTAAAAGATACAGTATAGGCAGCAAAATCAAAAATAGGAACCGTGTTAGCGCAGTCGATAGTAGACTCACTTTCAAATCCAGCTGCAACTCGCTGCGGCCACGGTCGGTTTTTTTTAAACCGGGCGGTTCCCGGGGTTCATCCAGCCTCTAGGAAATGGGTACCAGAGTTGACACTCTGGGGTAAATGGAGGAACGTCGCTGTAGCTACAGAGTTACGTGCGGACGGCGACACTGGCGGATAGTTTCTTATCAGCTGTCCGTACTGGTGGCAGAGCACTTATGGTTTATAACCGTGTGCACTGACACTGGTTCACATCTCAATGGATTGAGGAAATGATGAGGTCGTAAAGAAACCCTGAGAAAAACGTTAATTAGAGAGACCAAAGATGTCACACTGGCTTCTAACTGAGATATCGAAAAGTTTGCAGGATAGAACGGAATGCAGGAATAAACTGTGTGAGGTACAGAATACACTTGTGACTTTACAAACATACAGCGGTTAGTAGCGTATACTCACTCAATGGAAGCCGTAGTGGCGTGGAGACTAAATACTAGCCTGCTGGTCCTAATGGACTCAAACCTACATACTGGGGGATTTTTGTTTTTTGAAAATTGACTTTGGCCTCCGAACTGACCCAGTCTAAAATGGATACCAATTAATGCCCTGGGAAGTAAAGGCGACTGGCATGATGTTGACCACATGATTCATTGAGTGCTGACTGCTATCTTCTTCTTCGCGTTCACCGGCTGTAAACACTGGCGGAAAGTTTTGGTTGTTCATCCCCTTCTGGATTGCAAAATCCCATAACAAAATGGGATTAAAAAGAGAACAGAAAGAAAATTCCTAAGCACTGTTAACAAGAACTTTGATAAAACTATGCACATAATTCAAAGTGTCAAAAAAACAAAAGAAACAAACACCAATATTTGTGTCCAAATAGGGTGATGGTTGACTTGATGATGTCTGCTATTTTGTGTCTAATGTTGGACGAGGAACAATGGAGATCACTCTCCATATCAAGCTAGGCAATGCTGTTTTGTTTTCATCACTGTTAGAGCTGAAGATCTTGATTATTACAAGTACAAATGAACTCAATTTTAACATTGACACCGCCTTGCCTCCTCCCTTGAAACTTCCTCAACCCCCCCCCCCCCCCCCACCCTTTTCCAGATTGGAGACCACTGGTATATAACAATATGAGTCTAGCATCATCTGCCCATAAGCCACTCCGACAAAAGTCAGTGTACATAAGCCTGAGAGGCAAGGAACCAACAGTCTGCATTTGAATGAGTCAGTTCTGTAAAATGGATGCACACATAACATTCAGGTTCTGGAACAGGACTACAGTCCAAAAGTGGACAAACAACTAGAACTTTATGCCAGAGTTTACAGCTGGTGAAGGTGAAAAATAAAAATAAATGTGTGTGTGTGTATATGTATATATATATATATATATAAAGTTTTCTATAGTTTAGTAGTCATATCTTGTGTTAAGTTGTGTTGCTTCTAGAATAAGAACAACTCTTTTAATGATCTCATCAAAGGTAATGGATTCATTGGCAGCAGCACAGTAGAAAAGCTGATCACAGCTGGGCACAAGGTGACACTGGTCAACAGAGGAAACTGGTACTGGGATTCTGGCTTCACAGTGAGACCCTTTGTGTCACAGATCAAGTGTGACCGCATGCAAGCGGTAAGAATTATTTCAACAGTACAAGCAGGAAAAGTTTTGGTGTGTTACCATCAGTTGGGACATACAAGTTGATCTTAACTTCTTCTTCTCGTTCACTAGCTGTAAACTGTGGCAGAAAGTTCTGGTTGTTCATCCACTTCTGGAATGCAGTAGTGTTCCAGAACCTGAGTATTGCATGTACATCCGTTTTACAGATCTGACTTATTTGTATGCAGACTTTTGGTTCCTTGCCCTTTAGGCAGATGCAGCCCGACTTCAAAGGAAGCCCTCAATTAGTCGACTCTTACGACAAGCTTTTGGGTAGGCAGTGGGTCTATTCTTGTTTTACCCCACAATAGGGCCCCTGAACCTTCACAGGGAAATCTCAAAATTGTAAGCTAAAAATTCGGAATGAGACCTATACCTGTCTAACGCATTTCATATCTGCTCTATTTAAGTCATGAATGGCTATGGCTTAAGTGTTGAGAAAGTCCTTTGTATATCAGGGGTGTCGGGTTCAATCCCAGCTGCAGGTGTTTGGTAGCAGATTACTTTGATTTGGTTCCGACAGTTAAATCAAGAGCCAACCGTTTAAAAAGCATTATCTACATTTAGTAAGCATTTATCATACTTAGTAAACATTTCTGTATCTACATTTAATTAACACTTCTCTATCTACATTTAATAAACACTTCTTGATCTACATTTAAGAAACACTTCTCTATCTATGTTTAGTAAGCATCTATCTACATTTAGTAATCATTTATCTACATTTAGCAAACATTTCTCTCTACAGTTAATAATCAATTCTCTATCTACTTTTAGTTTTTTTTAAAAAATGCAACAGTTCTTTCAAGGTTAAGAAACAGTGTACCTATATCTATATTTAGTAAGCTTTGTATTTATGTGCCTACATTTAATAAACTTGTTTATCTGCATTCATCCATTCATATGTAATTGTGCTCTGCCTGTTTACAGCATAACTGTAATATTTGCTCCTTTCGGCTTACGCATCTGACTTCTGCCCCACAGTCCAGAGAAGCCACGTAATGCTGGTCAACGCTGAAGCGAAGGCAGAGGCAAAACGTGAGCATTTCCCACCATCCATGAAGGCTTACATAAATGCAGAGCCAATACATGGTGTTCTGGGACTGAGCTTACCCAAGTAATTGTCATGTCCTGCTCATGACTGTTTGGCCTCACTTCCATATATTGAATTTCTCATTCATCATGGGCCATGCCTTTAGATGCCTGTAGTAGGCAGCCTGCAATTTTGATTGAATTTACTAAACATTGTTTCTCTATGCACACTAAGCAAACACTCTGTCAACATTTAGTAAACAATATTTCTCTATTTGTATTTCGTTAACATTTCTGTATCTATATTTAGTAGTAAACACTGTTTCTCTTCTTCTTCTTCTGCGTTCGACATCAGTCATGCTAGACATTTAGTCCCGTCTGGGTCACAAATAGGATTGTGCGTTCAAGGTCGCCACCGGTCCCCCATAGCTTCTCTTTCAATGTGGCTCCCTTGGGCCAGATCCACAGTCTTTGCTTGGAGAGGTTAGGGCAGTACTGTAGAATGTATTTCTCTGCCTTAACAGTCTTTCTCTATCTACATTTAGTTTACCTGATTTATCTCCTGATACAGTCAAGTCATTCCTTATATATTAAATGTGAAATATTTTGCAGGTGAACAAATGCACTGAGCTGTTCAACTATGTATCAGCAACTAACAAGATTGATGCGGTCATTGATTTCAGTGCTTACCATCCTCAGTCAGTCATTGAAACTTTGGATCTCCTTGATGGAAAGGTTAAACTGTACATCTACATCAGCACAGATTCTGTTTACGAGGTGAGCCCTGGGTTTGTCGTTAGTAAAAGAAAAAGTAAAGAATCTTTTATTTGCCATTAATGTTTCAGATATATGGTAATAAACCATTATATTTAGATACCTGTTAGCGCAAAATGCACATAAGCTGCCTTTACTGTCCTGGCATTTTCCGTATTACCCATTTTAAGCTGGGTTGATCTGGAAGTGAAGAAGTTTGTCATACAGACTATTTAAGAGGTGATGCTCTCTTTATTCATTCATAGATGATAAATAGAGCTATGCCGTGAGTTCTCATGTTGCAAGTGAATCATGAGATTTCCAAATTTTGGAAGGTGCAAAGTTGTGAATTTATAGAAAAATTACAAAAACCTCATGGACATTTAAAAAAGAAATTTGAGAAAGTCTTGATAACAAATGAAAACAGAAACAAAAAGGAATTCCTGCATCAGAAGCAGAGAATTTGCATTCTTTGGAAAGACAGAGAGGCAGTGGAAGGCCAAGAAATATGATTATGGGCAGTTTAGCATGGAAGAATATCTGAATCATAAATAATTGGCGGTACACGAGACAGAAGGCTATGGGCGGAGAGTGACCAATGTCACAGACTTTAATAATAAGAAATGTTTCTATCTATGGTGCTATCTTAGTGGTTTGAGATGAAGTTTGTAGGCATTAGACAGTTGTAGGTTCAAGCTGTATGATACAGCTAATTAAAACACATTTGGGGGGGGGGGGTGTATAGCTGGTTATGTGTCTTGTTACATTTGTCCCACAGTAAGGCGCTTTCCTCATTTGGAGGTGACAATTTCAATTCCTGGCATGATAACTATAACTCTTGAATTTTACCTTTAGTGGGTCCTTCCATATTTTCTTTGTGAGTGCAGATCATTACCTTAATTACATACAATATTTCTTTGGCCGTAAACGTTCAAATATCTTCCCTACGTGTGTGTTGTATTTTAGACACAACATTGTGGTCGGATGTACTTATAATTGTTGTGTTCGTTATTTGACTTATTCTTGATTATTATATGGTGCCATTTAAATGATTTGAGACACAGGTTAACTGAGCCTCACAGTCATCATATTCTTAGCACTAAGGGACCAGGAGAATGCAGTTCAAACACGTGACATTGTTGATCTCCACTAAAAGAGAAGTGACACAAAGATCTGAAAACACAATCGATTATTAGCACTTTGATACACTTTCAGTCTTTCTGGTACATCTCTTTGTTTCTGTCCACCCTGCAACATTTCTATTTTCCTTGCCACCAGTCTCTGACAAAAGTCTGCAATAGGAGAAAATCCAAAAAAACTCTGGTGAGTTCTCTAGTATTGATGCTTCTCAATCAGTGCGAATGATCAAAACCAAACTGTTTTCCACCCCTGTGTCACTTGGACAGGCACCAAGTGTTAGTTAGGCATTTGTTTTCCATGGATAAAGGCAGGTCACGCATGATTGGGATTATGCTTGCTTAGTGCAAAGCAAAAACTGTTGGACTTTCAAACTGTTTTTGAAACAAGAGGTCAAATATGTGTCTAATTTATTAGCAGTCAGTTTATTGAATCTATTGATTTCGTTGGGTATTTTGTTGTTGTTTTTTAAACATGACCTCACATTGGCAGTTTATGATAGGTATCATTTAAATATGATCATCTTCTTGTGTATTTTCCCTTCTTTAAGGCCATTTTAAACTTCTCAGGTTTGTTTGAAGAACCACAGTGGTCCTACACTGGAAACTGATGCAGTCAGACCAGATTCACAGGAGCAGCGAGAGGATTTTGAAGCACAGGAGAGCTATGGCCATCGGAAGCTAATGTGTGAAGAGGTTTTGACTTCATACCAGCTGGAGAAGAACGGCCCTCCTTACGTTTTTCTGAGACTGCCTGATGTCGTAGGGCCACGGGACAACACTTACCGCTGGTGGATCTATCAGATGTGGATGAAACTGAGGCCTTATCTAGAAAAGGATATTGTGGTGACGGCTGCTCTGGCCAACAAACCAATGAGTTTAGTTTACGTCAGTGATGTTGCAGATGTCATTTTCGACCTGGTTGAGAACCCAAACCCAGAAGCATTAAACCAGGCATTTAACCTGGCCCTAAAGGAAACCCCAACACTAATGGAGTTGCTAGAGAACATCAGAGATCAGCTGAACCTGACCAACATCAGGATCTCAACCAGTAGACAGCCAGACACAATTCAGCTGTTCCCATCCGTATCTCGAGGACCAGTAAACATCTCTAAAGCTAAGACCATTCTTCACTGGAACCCAACCAAATGGGAAACAGTTCTTAAAGATACTGTCGAGTTTTATGAAAAAGCAATTGGTATTCCCTACTTTGGTAGAGAAAGGAATGATATTATAAGAACAATGCAAACATACTTTACAACAAAACCATATAATGTCATTCGTGGGCTTAGAGACATTTATGGTCTTGCATACCCTGAGCCTCGGGATGAACTGTGAACTGTTTAGGATATTTCTGACAAATGTTTCACTAACAAGAATGACTGAACATAATTTGAATGAAACATTGAAGCTCGGTGAAGAAAAATACTTGCAGACAGCTTTTTTTTCTTAATCTCTTCCTCCATTTACCTCACGTAGACTGTGGGGAAATAGGAGGAAGGTTTAAGAATCTTCTGTGTGTTGCTTTTTCTAATGAATTAGTTGAACTTAATTTCTTTAAAGCTTTTTATCCGAGTAATATAAATGAGTTATGCCTGTTTACAGCATAGCTACAATGTTTGAGCCTTTTGACCAACATATCCATTTCTCCAGTCATTTGTTTTCCAGTTTAGTCATCCAGGTTGATTTTACTGGACATGTTACAGCCTCCTTACCTTCCATACATTGAACAAGAAGTCATAAACAATCTAGATGATTACATCCCCATGTTGATTATGGGGAAAACAAGAATAGACCCACTGCCTCCCCAGAAAAGCATGTCATAGGAGTGGAATAATTGGAGACTTCCTTAGTAGTCAAAGTACATCTGCCCGAGCTGTAAGGAACAACCAACTGTACACACACACAAAGACAGATGTAGTAACATGCAAAACTCAGGCCCTGGCACAAGGCCCAAATGGATGACTAAACTTTCCACTGGAGCTTACAGCTGGTGAATAAAGAAGAAGTAGATAACATACTTGAGGACTTCCCTGGTGCCCCAACAACGACATTCATGTGGACACCCATTTCTTTTATGGAACTTGCCAAGTCTGCGCAGTCTTGTAAGACAGGGCTTTGACCATGAGCTGGGTTACAACTTCACTAGGAACGAGTCATCCCATCATTGATCTCTTCCTGTGCCAATGAAACCACACAAAATGTCCCTCACTGCCTCATGTGAAAAGGCAACCCCACAGCAGTCCCAGCAAAATCCAACAGTTTGCACATGCATCAAATGCATAGGCAGCATCTAGAGGTGCCACACATAGTTTGTAACTAAAATTTGTATTCATAGTCGATGGAAGCAAAAGTTGCCCCCTTACTCCATAAGACGCACTGCCAATTCGATGACAACTAGCACCTCACATTTTCTGAATATGCAGTAAAAACACACATCTTCACAAAAACACACAATAAACAAAGGGCTATGGAGTTTTCTCTGGTGCACCACAACCACAAGAAACATTTAGTGTAGATGCGCTTTCAGTTTACAGTGTATTCCTCAGTTTATCAATGTTTTAAAAAGGGACAACATTGCTATTAAACCTCAATTATAATACTTCAACATAGCAGTTATATTACTTCAATATCAGAGAAATGTTAAAGTCTAGAGGATCTAGTTCTAGTGATTGTACTGGGTTTTCTCCCGTATGACTGTCTGTTTATAGGGAAGCTAGCTGACTGCCCAGAGTGTCACATAAAGCATGAACATCATAGCTAAAGTGATGATCCCCCAGGGATCTCTGTTAAAGATTGTATTTGTTTACTGAAATGAACCCACAGACATCCCAAACAGAAAACACACAATGAACAGTTGTAGGGTTTAAAATAAGTGCCCAAAAATGTGTGGAAGTACAGTACATGGACTGCTAAAAAAGCAATAGGGATTAAGAGAGATAAACTCTACGACAACTAATTGACAGGGGAGGTGTTATAAAAGAGAAGAGAAAAAGAATAAACATTTTTTACTCAATTTCAATCTATTTATTATTCAATCATTTGTCACTAAACACATTTTCTGCTATTTACGTAACTTTCAAATATGTTTCTTACAAGCATTATAAATGTATCTCTCCTTTCGTTTCAGTAGATTTATGTAATTGCTCCTGTCTTATAACTGTACAGATTTATATAATTGCTCCTGTCTTATAACAATTGTACAGATTTATATAATTGCTCTGGTCTTGCCAGTATTATAAAAACAACTGTACAGATTTATATAATTGCTCCTGTCCTACCAGTATTATAACAACTGTACAGATTTATAATTGCTCCTGTCTTGCTAGTATTTTACAAAAGATTTACCATTGCCATCTTACCAGCAGTGTACCGAGCGTATAGATTTATAATTGCTCCTATCTTACCAGTACATATTATACATCTGTACAGATTTAAAAATGCTCCTATTTTTCTTAACAAAATGTTATTTATACAAAAAAGCTGCTAGTCAAATGAGCACACCTTATACACTTAAGTTATGGTGCATTGGTGACGTCAAAAGTGTACCATGACTTTACGGACAGTATATATCTGTGCATAAAATGTATTGATGCCATGTTTCCATCAGAAATCACCAATTTTTCTGGTAGTTCATGTTTATAAGACACAGTGACCGCATACCAGAAATACAGTATGTGAAACGCTTTTAAAAGAATGAATGCATGGACGAGTTAAAAATATGCAGTAAAATCTTTCTCAACTCTTCAAGAAGCAGAATATGTGGCAATCGTCATCTGTTGTGTGTCACTTGTGTCATCATCATCATGTAGCAGGTCCTTTGCAGAACGTCGCTCTCATCACAGTCTGCCTGAAAGAAACTCGGTCTCTCGCCAGTTCTCCTGCCTCATGCACTTTCACACTCAAGGAGTCACTTATATCCTGTGCCTATCTTCGTGTTGGTCGGCCCCTGCCCCTCCTTCCTGGTACCATGCCTTCTGCTATAATTTTTTCCAATCCATTGTGGCGCTTGTTATGACCAAAATATTTCAGCTTTCGTGAAAGGATGCTGTTTATTAAGTCACTTGTATACAAATAGATATTGAGAAATGGAGCCAGAATGATAATGAAATGAATGGGACTGTAAAATTGATGTATGAATATTAATGTCTCAGTCATTTAATGATTTTTAATAACTAACATGTAAACTGAGCAAGGGAAAGGAGTCCAGAATATTAGCTGTGGTTTGGTTGCAGTACTTTTAGTCCCCAAAAACTGTGCTAAGAGTTTATGCGCTGTTCAGCTTGGGAAAACTTATTTGCACTTACTGAACGGATATGTATGTGAATTATATAATGGCTGAGAGAAAGATGTGATCAGTGATACCCGCTTATGTGTGCGGTTACAGGCCATCATTTCCAATTATTTATCATTTTGTTGTTGTATAGCATGAGAAATAAAGTATGTTATTCATGTCCTAAAGGTTTTCCTAGCATGCAAATCAAGTGGGTCTCAAGATATCATAAACTCCTAAACACTTGGGTCATTAGTTGGACAATCACATCATCCTTCATCCTCTTTTATCAGTCGATACAGGTATTTGTACAGACATTTCATGTTCATGATTTACTTTCAAAAGCATTTAACTTTCACACCATATCTTAGCTGGCTCTCCAATTTTTGCTGGCAAATGTTAAGAGTTGAAGATTTGTATTTTGATCTTATAGCTGTATAACTTGGAACTTGTATTTTGTTAAGGCTTTTAAAGACTTGCTGCTTGCTGATGCATTTGAGGGTAACAGTAGCCACAGTAAATATAGAAAGTGATGACCTGCCAGAATGCTTAGCCTAAATATCAGATCACATATGATGTATTGGCTGTGACTGAAGAAGAAACATATTCCATTTGAATCTTGCCCAATCCAGTAATCAACCTGTCCACATTTTTTTGGATGCCAATCAAAAAAAAATGCTAGCCTTGTTTCTAAAGAGGTGTGGTAGGGTAGAGGTTACGTGCGAATCAGCCTACACATAGATCTTGGGTTCCAGTCTGCACTGTGAATTAATATGTCCACATTTGACCCTGGCTCCCAACTTACTATCATGCAAAGAAGGCAAATGGTTACAATTTGAAGGTAGAATCATGTGCCAGATGAAAAACATGTTTTTTTTAAAAATTCAAACTGTATTTATATTTTCTTCCGTCCGTGAATATTTTGTGTATTGTCCATCAGCATTTTCCCCGCAAATTTATAATAAACATGACCATTTACACACATAAAATGCCTTCCTAGTTTTCTGTTAACAGCAAGAGTTCTTGTCTAACTAGAAACATTGCTAGAGCTCTGAAAAACAATCTCACAAACAAATCACATTATTGCTAGGAAAACCACCTTCCTTGTTTAAATTTCATGTACCTTATCTTTTTTTTTTCCTTTTCAGCATCAGGTTTACTTAGATCTTGCATATATCCATTGCTTGCATGGTAAACCACTAGCTCTGCTTTCATTCAGTCTGACACTGCGGTTTCCTGTCAGCTGGTATTCTTGACCAGTCTGAAAATTTCTTTTGTGTACTGATATCATCATTTCTGATTTTTTTCTTTTTTTAGTTACACTAACGATTTGTTGTAGAAACTATTTTTTTTTTAAATTTTCTGTATGTTGTACTAGCATTCCTAATGGATCACAGCTAGATATATTATCTGTGTGTGCTGCGGTATTTGCTTAATGGCAATAATTTTTAACAGTTCAGCTTCTGTATTGTAGGGAAAACAAGAACAGTCTGCCCAATAGTGTGTCTAGGAGTCAGCTAATTTGGAGAATTTTTCATGTTGCATCTGTCAGATTTGCAAATAAAACAACTGGTAAACCAAAAAAAAAATAAAAAAAAAAAAAAAAGTTTAGCTTCCAGAACTGATAGATGCATTTTTAGGGTTATTGCGGTTATGTAAACCAGGGGTGGCAAACTTACGTGATTTGTAGACCAAATTTAAAACTCTTAGCCGATTATCCGGCCATATACAAAAAATCCATAACAGGACTTTATTGTAACACAATTTTTGTAAGATAATGTATGATTATAATCCCTTGCTGTCTTGGAGTGAACAGTCAACCCTAGCCGACACGTCACATTTCAAATTTAAACCCGGGGGGGGAGGGGGGGGGGGGAGTATGGAGTAGTCCCTCGTATTGATATATACCTCTATCTGGTGTAATAAGTGTAATAAACATTTCTAGACCCTCTATTTGGTTTGAGAAGTCTACATTTTCAAACTTGCAACTGTGGCATAGATAATTTCTTATATATATTCAGAAATTCCTGTAAGCCTTTTTACTCCTTGGGCACGAATACAGGAC